AACTCGAGCCAAATATACACGTCTCTTTTGAGGAGAAACCATTCTCCAATGTAGTATGGCGTAGACAGAACAGAAGCGACAGACTCGCCGTATTTCACCGTAACAATATTTATTAAATAGAAATATTTTAATAATATTAATTACTTCTTAAATTTTGCTAAAGAAATTTTCAAGAACAAAAACAAACAGAATCAAATAAAATGGAGTTAGATAATTTAATATTACTTTTACAAAAAGAACAAGATATATTATTTAATGTTAGTTAAGATATGAGAATTAAATTAGAATTTAAATATAAAAATTTGCTATATTATATGTAACAAATAAATTTGCTTTTAATAAAAAAAATTACTTTTATTTTAATTATTGCACATATTATAAAAATTATGTTTTATATTATAAAAAAATTTATTATATCATTATAAATTAAGATTTTTAAAATTTAAATCGAATCAATCAATTCTAATACATATTGATTTCTATCTAAATTGATAATAATTAATAAAAGATTATAATTAATATATACAGTATTTAAGATGTTGTTAATTGATATATATCCCCTATTTATTTTGCCAATGTACTTTAAAATAAATAAATAAAAAACAAGTAGGGAGAAACTAAAGTTTCTAGACAATAATATTATTAAAAAAGTATGTGGACTTTATTATAAAGAAATATAAAATTTCTTTGAAATATCTGTTTTTTGAATTGACAAAAGAATTAATAAAAAAGTTGATTTTAATTTTATACAGTAAATTTAATTAAAATAAGTTTAATATTATATAAATTTAATAGAATTAAATATATATTAACTTAATATTGTATAAAATAAATTTGTGCATACTCGTCTTATAATATCTAACAATCAAAATATAAGCCACCTGTTCAAAAAAAATATTGTATAAAATAAATTTGTACATACTCATCTTATAATATCTAATAAACAAGGTGTAAGCCACCTGTTCAAAAAAAATATATTAACTTAATAATATTGAATTTAACTTTATATAAATTTAGTTAAATTAAGTCTAACAATCTTGGCAAATTATTTTATTCAACTATATTAATTGATATATATTATCAATTACATTTCTGTTTTAATTTATGAATATTGTATATTTGTGTTAGTTTATTTTTTTTATTTTTTATATTATAGTAAGTTATTTAATTTTATTTCTAAACAATAACTGCCAATCCATTGGGCAAAAAGTACAAAAAATGAATGGCAGAAGAAATATCTTCTGTTTTTCATGGCCTGTTCAAAGTCCTGACCTTAATTCCATTGAACATTTTTGGAATGAATTGAATTGTTTGGATATACAGACACAATCTTTTCCCAACTAATAAAGTGAAGTATTTGAGTTCTTATAGAAGGAATAGTTTAAAATAAATGATTTGATTTATCAAAATCTTGTAATGAGTATATCTCATTATATTGAGGCTGTTAAAACTCCATAGGCAATTCTATGAAGCATTAAATATATAAATAAAATTTGAAACTTGTTGTTTTAAAGAAAAAAAGATTTTTTTTTTTTAAAAAAAAAATACTTTAATTTTTTTAAATTCATAAAAAAATTTTTTTATCCAGTTGTCGATAATCGTCAAATTTGATTATCAGGTTATGATTATGTCATGGGAGTGTACATGTATAATATGGTTATCTATCATTAAAATATTAACAAACTTTATGTTTTTGGCAAATTACAAATTATGACGGTAATGAAATATGATTGAGATGAAATAGAATGCCACTGTATTTATCACGTCTGTCCTTTCTTTATCTTATTTGCTACTCAATGCTATTATCGCGAGTTTTATAAATCACGCATCACCTGGATTTTTGTACCACCACACAATTCTCAACGTAAGACCATGTTTCACAATTCAACATTAACAGCATTGAATGCACAGACAAATTACTGTATACTCTTTCTTCTTCAAGACGAAGTTAAGGCCACAAATGGATCAACTTTCTACGGATATTACTATAGCTGTCGCTAAACATGACTTTGTCAAAACGTGTGGTGCTATACCATTTATTGGAAATATTGCAGCAGCTATGGCCCAGGATATAATAGATTTAGCAAATAATGCTAGCCATAATAAAGAAGCGTGCAATTATATTTCCGAGTGTGTACAAAGGAGTCTAACTGCTATTGCTATGCTTCCATTGGAAGGTGATTACAATGAATCACAAAAGGTATATGAAAAGGTGTTAGACGAAATGAAATCATATGTGATTGAAATTGACAAACCTGGAAAGTTCAGCGAGAAAGCAAAGAAATGGCTCAAGGGTATTGTTAATGCAAATAATGTAAGATAGTTTTCTTTTTATGACCATCATCAAAAATTTATCTTTGTATATTCTTATTGAAAAGACCTATTTTATTATAAGGTTCAGCTAGCTAATGAAAAATTGCTCCTAAAACTAACAGAAGCCATCCGTGGTTTTTATACTGTTTTGGGACCTGATAGTGAAAAAATTAATAAAATTTTAGAGATCACTGAAGGAAATAAAAAAAGCATCAATGCCCTTAAAATCATGCTAACAAAGAAAGGGGATAGCTTGACCGATGAGGAGATAGAATGTTTAAAAATTGATCCATTAAAAATTAAAAATCAAGAAGATAAAGATGAAACCAATTACTATGATTCTGACCGCAAAATTGCTGTAAATAGTATTCAAAAGCGGATATATTGTGGAGAGTTTGTCGCCGTAAAAAAACTAATTTACAGAGACCCTAATGAAAAGCAACAACGCAAAATAGTCAAACAAGCAAAGATCCTTAGTTTACTTAGCGCCTGTAAATATATTGAAATATTGTGAGTATTCCATAACTTATTCATAGCTTATTGTATATTGATTAATTGATAATTTTATAATTTATAGCATTGGCGTCTATTTTAAAGAGGAAAATACAATAAAATATTTATTCTTGGTCACTAATTGGATGCAAAGTGGAAATCTTCAAGATTATTTGGCTAATAATAAGTCTATTCCATGGGAAACTAAACTAAAGGTTGCAGAACAAATTGCAAAAGGGCTCACTTACTGTAATAACGCTGGAATATATCATCGAGATGTCAGAAGGTGCATAAATAAATGAACATTTCTTTATTTTTTATACTCATTTATGCGTGGTAATAAAATATTTTTTTTAGCAAAAGTGTATTGCTCGATGAGAACTTGGATTCAAAGCTTACTAATTTTGAGAAGAGTAGAACCATCACAGGGGAGACATCCGAAATGCCGATTGATAGGAAAAGGTCACTTATGTATTTTTATATTTTATAGTTTTATTATATTTCTTAATAAATAATTTTGGCAACATTTAGGTGGACGGCACCGGAAAAACTCATATATCCAATGTTACCATATACTGAAAGATGCGAAGTATATAGGTATGATAAAGTAATTAACTTTCATATTATTAGTTAAGACTGACGTAAATTATTTTATTTCAGCTTTGCCATTCTTCTCTGGGAAATTTCTGCACAACAAATTCCATTTTGGGATATGTCCCATCGTGATGCAGGTGAAGAAGTAAAAAAAGGAGAACGTCCTAAACCATTCACATTAGACACGCCAGAACGATATAGAAAATTAATTGAGAAAGCCTGGCACCAGGAACCAAAGAGACGTCCAGAAATTGAAGAAATACGAAAGGAGCTTACAATAATGAATAGAAATTACCGGGACGTTATACAATCATCTTTCATGCTTCCTATTGATCAAGTAATATCACTCCACGAACAACAACAGTTCAAAGAAGCGTTTCCATTATTCCTGCATCTAGCCCAAAAAGGCGACTCTCAAGCGTCTTATTACGCAGGCCTTTATCTATACGAAGCAAGTTATGGCATTGAAAGAGATGAGATTGAAGCTTTACAATTATTTCAAAAATCGGCAGTTGGCGGAGATGTTAGAGGCCGGTATATGTACGCTAACGCCTGTCTCTACGGATCCTATTATTCTCGAAGAGAAGGACTAAGATATCTTAAAAAGTCAGCAGATAAAAACTATGCAGATTCTTTGTACATGTTATCTCAGATATATTTAAATGGAGAACATGGATGTGAAATCGACAATGATAAATATGAGGAATATTTAACAAAGGCATCTAATAATGGATCCGAAAAGGCACAAAGAGAACTTGCAATATTGAAAAAAGATAAGACGTAACGGATCTAAAGCTTTTTACGTGAGATTATATAATTAAAAACGATATATATTAATTCTCAAATTTTATGACAATAGGGTCGACGCCGATTGAATAATATATATAACTAAAATTTTTTGTTCTACTGTATTTACTTTATGGATAATTATCAAATTTTGGAATTTTATCAATAGAAGCAGAAGTTAGGTTGATGTTTTCTATAATAATATAATATTTATTGATGGGATTTTCATTAATGAGATTATGAAGGTATAATTTAATTCGCTTCTTTAATAAATATCATATTATATACTGTACATATTTGAGCCATTCACAATGTATTTTATTTACTTGCTTATTTATTTTTTTTGCAAGCAGTTATTAGACACAAGACATTAAACTTTAGTTTATTATAATTACATATGATCTATTATATTAGTAAATTAATTGTAACTTATTAAACCTTTACAGTTTTCATGATTGCCACCAAGTAGTATTTACATATTAAGGGTATTGAATGACTAATACCTATTCAACTTATGGTTAAATTTTTATATATTTCTAAGATACTAAATATTTTCTTGAATTTGACTAATTTGTATTGGGGAGATTCGATACTGGGGGTTTTTTAATTTAATATCTGACATTAGTGATTGCAGTGTTTGTTTCCAAATTTCTAAAAATTTTAAGAAAATAAATGAAAGTTTTTTTTTTTGCAGAATATCAAAAGTGATATGAAGTACTTTAGTATTAGAATGTGATTTAATAAAGTTTGTAATGACCAGTTGGTTGAAACTAATAGTTAAATATTTTTCTTTTGAAATGTTTTTAGAGATTAGAGAATCAAGAATAGTGTCTTTTTAATTGTATTTAAACTCTGATAGTAAAAGCATATATATTTCAAATTTTCTAAAATATACTTTACAATAAAAACAAAATTGTTACTATATAATTAAAAGTATCTTTTAAATAATTTAACTCTATTATAAAGTTTGTTTTCTGTAATTTTTTTTAAAAATAGTTTAATTTAAACTTGAGATAATTAGTTTTTGAACTTTTGTTAAAGTAAAAAATTATTTTTAGCTCTTTCCATGTTATAAGATAATCAAAAAAAATGTCAAAAAATTAATATATTAATTTACAAACTTGACTACTAAACTATACTTGTGACATATTTTAATTAATGCAAGAGGATATGCTTTTCTAGTTTTTACTAACAAATTTTAAAGCTTGAGACATAACAAATGTTTGATGTGAATGTATTCTTCTTTAATATTTCTATGATCTAATTTAAAAACTTAATTAAATATAAGCACTTATACTTGAAACTATTACTCAAATCTTTGCTTTATCTGAAAAATCATTAAATAGAATTGGCTATTTGCTTTTTGATACATTTTTATTAATTTCTATACAGTGTTTTTAAGTAATAAATAAATAAATAATTTCAAATTTTTTTGCACCATACTGTATATGAATTAAATATTATTTAAAACTTATATAATTTTTTTAAATGATGAAAAATGATTTTCAATATAGAAATTATTTAAAAATAATCGTATAACTGTTTTAATTAATTATTTAATAATTATAAAATAGTATTATATAAAATTAATACAATAAAACTTTTTTATAATGATAAATAATAATTAAAAAATAAAAAATAAAAGTTATAAAAATTTAATAAAAAAAAAGTTTTAAAATTCAAAGAAAGTATAATAAAAATTAAAATTTTAGAATATAAAATAGAAAGTATTTAAAAATTTTGAAATTCAAAAATTTAATTGCAATATAATTATACAATTATCTTGATAACTAATTATTTAACATTAATTAATTTTTTTTTAAAAAAAAAGTTTTTGACATAAGCTTTAAAATAAATTATTATTATTATTATATATAATAAAATTAAATTTAAACATTTTTCAAAAACTATATTACAATAGATTTACAAACAATATACAATAAATAATTGAAAATCATTTAATTCCAAATTATATTGTGATTAAACATTCTTTATCTCTTAAATTATAGGATATTTTTTTATAATTTTTAAAATTTTTTAACTAAAAAATTATATTTTATTTATTTTTTAAAATAATCAAAATATTTTTTTAAAAATTTATATAATATTAATTTTAATTATACTGTATATTTACCCCTTCAAAAGATTGATATGGCTATCATTACCAAACCTAGCATAGTTTACTAATTGGTAGTTAAACTAAATACTGTGGGAGGGTTGTTCTTGACGAGACATTTGATTTGACTGAGATAAATAATTTCTCTTTATTAATTTACTTTAGTCACCACCATCTACTTCTTTTTATTTTAAAGAATAGCTGCTAACATTTTATACTTTTTTACAAGAAAAGTTTAGGAACAATTTGAAAACATAACGAAAGGTAAGGGAATTTCTACTACTTTCTGGCGCTATTATCTAATCTAACATTAATTATATCATTATTATTTTGTTACAAGCACCAGTTTCAGATCTATTTTTACCTTTCTTTTCTTTTCATGATCCTGGATTGATCATCAGTTACATGACTCAATCATTTTACTATCGTTTTTATTCTTCCTCTCACAATACACTCAAGAAATCTTTGTACAACTATTATTATTTGAAAGTACCCAAGGAGTTGTGCTTCACAGTATCCAGAGTAAAATAGCAGCCAATGTTAATACAGCTAGCAATAAGCTAGATTAGTTGCAGATGTCATGCTAGTAATTGGGAAACTTAGTAAAGTAATACGTAATGATCAGGAATTTTAGTTACCCTCGCAACATAAATTGGTAACAACAACAAAAGTTCCTCACTTATTCTCTGACAATATAGGTCTATTGTACAAAGTTAGGTTCCGGCGCCACTAAGAAAACCAATATAAACTCCATCCATAGGACATTTCCACCATACTTGAAGCATGTATATGCCAAATCCTTTTTGTGACTTGGAGGCAAACCTGTATAAAGTGACTGCAGCACCTTCAAGCAAAAGGATACTCATTTCTTACTATCTCTAACACTATTCTGCTTGCTGTACATCAAGCTATATTTGAAAAGCAGGTGTACCAATCCTAATTATAACTTGGAGACTAACCTGTATAGATTGATTGCAGCGTTTTCATATGATTAGATATTCATTTACTTCTAGGTAGCTAGACACCATTAATAAACATAATATAGATTTTTGAATTTCTTTTTGTCTGTATTCCTTGAATGGTGCTAAAAGAGTACAGGAATCTGGCCCTGTATGGAAGTCTTGCATTAATTCTTCCTAGCAAAAAGAAATATATGTCATGCTATTGAGTATTGTACCTTGCTTTATAAGTGAAAGTATAATAAATATAATAAAGCATAATAGCCATTTGTTCTTTTCAAAAAAAAATTATATTGTATATTATCTAATAATAATATTTTTATTTATTGAATAAAAATTTGCAGTTTAATTATAAGTAAAATTTTTAATTTAAAAAAATTTTTTTAATAATTGATCTTAAATAAACTTAATATTTTTCAAAGTTAAAGATCATATAATTAATAATCAGTTTTATAGAATTATTTACAAAATATAACTTTAACTATTACAGTTTTAATAATTTAATTAAAAAATTTTTAACTTGTATATAAAAGTAAAATATATTTTTTACTTTAAATATATATTGAATTTTATTTCTTAAATTGTAATACAAGTAAATTTACTTATAAATTTAAAAATTAAACAAGTTTTTAAAAAATTTTAATAAAATTCTAAATATTAATTTTTATAATTTACTTATATTATAAAAAATATATTCTTTATTAACTTTATTAAATAAAAAATCTTTAAACTTTGTGTTTAAAATTTTAATATAAAAAAAATTTTTTTTTTAAGTAGGTAAACATTATCTCTTTATTATCATAAAAGTTTTAAATAATTTTACATTGTAAAAGTGACAACATCTCTCACGTGACCAATTGATTAGTGAGTTTAATGCTAGCTTGCCTACAGAAACTATCTAAGCGACATGGAAAATAAATATTAAAACCAATGTATATCCTAAATAGTGCTGAGCAGCTATAAATATCTACTCAGGATTATATGAAATAAAATTTAAGAAAATATAAAAATGAAAGAAGAAAATACTAGATGAAAGAAAAATAACAAAAAAACTAATTATAGTACAAATGAAACCTAATGTCGCTCTGATGGTTCCATCCCCCTGAAGTGCAGTTGCACTTTCCAGAATGGCCAGGCTACAGCTCATAGTATATAACAGTATTGATGACACATTCTCTTGATAGCCATTTCTTGAGTCATTGTTAATTATAGTAGTGGTATGGTTGTTGGTATTTAGGTATTTGGTGATAATCAAAAAGAAAATGAAAAAAAACTGACTATTATACAAAGAATGCCTTGAATTAGGCGTGCCACGCTGGTTGATCCATTTAATTGGAGTAGAATGCTACTTCTAGAAATGGCCAGGCTACTGTCCAAAGTAAATAGTAGTGTTGTTGACACATTATTTAGATCATATGTTGTTGTTGTAATTGTTAATATTTTTGTTGGTATGTTGATTGGTTTATTTTTTGGTGGTGTGATCTTGTTTTGATTGATATGGCCAAAATAGGATTTGTTTATGTCGATTGTTATATAATGTTTTGGTTGTATGGAATTGTTTTGTGATTTGATAGTATTGGATTGGTTGGATTTGAAATATCGATCAGTTGACAGGAGTAAACTGATTACGGTTTTTTGGTAAGAATTTTTTTGAGTGAAAATTTTTGATTTTTGGTGGTGCAGCAAAATATGCTGAGTGATAGTAAGAAATAAATATTGAATATATTGTTGGTGCTCCAAGTCAACAATATAAACAATTTTGATATAAAGTCTGGTTTTTTGATATAGAAAAAAGTCATCCAAGCAGAAAATATAATTATTTAAAAAGATTTGTGTATTGATAAGAAAAGAAAATGGAAAGAACCCCAAGGAATATTTATAAAGAAGTAACTGCTACGGGCCTTTCCTCATGCAATCCAAAAA